CCAAATGAAGTGGAAAAAATAACCCCCGAAGGTTTTATGTCAAAATAGGGTCGGGTTGAAAAAAATAAAGATTTGCACAGCCGCGGTGCATGGGGCGCCGTGGTAATGAAATATGTGTCTAGGAACGAAATTTGGAGGTGCTCTGATAATCTACACAGCCGCGCCACATGGGGCGGCGCGGTAGTGTAAAATTCTGCCAGCGTTTGGTAATTTGGTCATAACTTCTGGTAGGAGTGTCCAAATGACGAACGGTTTGAAGCGTTAATAACTAGACTCGAAGATCTTTCATTTGATAGGTTTTCATCACATAGAACCTTATATAAATGTAGATATGCTCGTCCAAATTATAGTCTTGTGCGTGCTTATTTAGAATTTTAGTCTATCATGTAATTTTCCAACTTGGCTTAGACTTAGGTCTTTCCTTGGACCCCAAATCACTTATGATATGCCTCGTACACTTATTATCATAATCAATTGATAACCATCACATTAATACTCATTTAATGCATCCACAACTGATTCAAATTTACGGGGTATTATAAAGATCTTCGATATACTTGATTTATTTGATTCCTTCAGTTTAGCCTTGATTGATTCTGTCAGTATCAATTTCTTCCTTTAATCACGTCTGCTTTCCTTGATTGCCTCTGATTGATTCCTTCAATCTTGTATGCCAATCTATGCGTTTCTTGATCATTGCTGATTGATTTCTTCAATCTTAAATACAATCAATGAGTTCCTATATAAAGAGAAAGTATGTTATTTTCATCATTAAAATCATATCTAACATGAATAATTAAGAAAATAAAGAAGAGAAATTGATCTCCGGAATGATTTTAGGAAAATCTCAAAATGTACAAGTTAGGCCAAGAAGTGTCCAAAAATCTGACTCTTCTTTGCACTTCCCAATAGTGTTTAACATTAAAGCGAACTCGATTGTGAGACTACAAGAACGTTCTTCGTACACCGATCTCAGTTCTCAATCATCCTGAACTTTTAACTCTTTGGGATGAATATTCTTTTAAAAAAACTTATCGTTGCCAAGTTGACATTATTTTTTCACGAAAGAATGTAGTTTATATGCACTAACAGTTTTTTACACAATCAGAGACTAATATGATGCTATATTATAACCAGAGGCAGCTCAAAGTGAAGAGAATGGGGTTTAATTGAAACCCATTCGTCAAAAACACATGCATAATGTGCAAATAGAGCAAAAACTTTTCTTGTGTTACATATAAGTTATTGAGTCCCTTGAGTATTTTAGTTTAGTGGAAAGGGGCTCAAATTAAAGTTGCTTCATGTCTTAACTATAACATTTTTTAGTATTTTTTTAACCCTTTGTAAAATTTCTGGCTTCGCTGTCGGGATAGTCAGTTAAAATACAACAATCAATACATATAAGTTAAATATTTCACAAAATAAATAAAACAACAAGTAGGGGTACTATTGACAATGACAATGGAACCAAAATCGATGTTTCTTTTTCGAATTGCACCTAAATGTTTGAACCATGAATCTTATAATGTGATATGTCCTGAACCTTGATACACCTAAAAACACCTATGGTGTATTTGGTATAACGAAAAATATTTTTCAAGAAAATATTTTCTTGAAAAACAAGTAGTAATCTTATTCATTTTTCGGTGTTTGATACGCAAATTAAGAAAAATGACTTCTCAAGAGTATTCATAAATAATTTAGATATAATAAATATGAAGCCATAAACTTTCAAACCAACAACCTTCCGAACCCATAAATTTTATAAACTTTCGAACCGCTAAACTTTCAAAACCGCAGAATTTCGAACCCGTAAATTTTATAATTTCTAAACCCGTAAACTTCCAAACACATAAACCTCCGAACTCATAATTTTGGAACTTATAAAATTTTGAACCTTTAAACGGATAAATAAAAAAAATAAAACTGAAAAATATATTTTAAAAAAATTTCGGGGGGGGGAGGGGGGGGTAGGGGCAGGTGGGGGGTTGGGGTGGGTGGTGCCGAAAAACGAAAAACAGAAATTTGAAATTACAAAAAAAAAAATTTAAGGTAAAAAAATAATTTTTTTTGTGAGGGGGGGTTGGGGTTGGGGGTTGGGGTGGAGGGATAGTAGGGTGGGTGGTAACGGAGAAACTGAAATTTAAAAAAAAAAAAAAAAGTCTTTTTTGGAGAGGGAGTGAGATGGGGAAGGTTGAGAAGGAGTTTTGGAAAATATTTTCCCTTCTCTTGATAAGGAAAACATTTTCTTCCAATTGAAGGAAAATGAGTTGATAAGGAAAATATTTTCCAAAATATTTAAGCCAACCAAACATGGAAAAATTGGAAAATTTCTTCATACCAAACACACCCCTAGTTTCATTACTACATCAATTATTAAAGAAAGAGTACCATTAATATCAGTAGAAGTAATCATGGTGATCCCAACAAAAATAGTACGTATGTTTTTTTTTTTCTTCTTTTATTGCGAATGTATACATGGAATATGACAATAGTCTGAAGAATTATACGAAGGGTTCATACTTTTGCATGGAATTTTTTTTACTAAATTGGTACACAATATCGTGCACCATACCTATATTTTATAACTCATGTAGCTAATAATTCCAAGCAAAAAGTTGAAACATCACACGATATGATTCAGCATGTGTTGTAGCTGTCCTGTAACAAATGCTTTTGCTTTACGTTTTCTCTCTTTTCTTTTTTAAAAGAATGCTCTCCAAATTTTAGAGTTCATTTTAAGTTGGGTTCATTGCATCAGAGGCGGAGGCATGATTTCAAGCTTATGGATTCGAGAGTCTGATCCTTTTAAGTTACCGGATTCTAAACTAACAATTTATATATATTTAATGAACTTTTTAATATAAATACATGGTTTGAATCAAAGTTACTGAGTTTGACCGAATTCCATAGTCGGCACTCTTAGCTCCGCCTCTGCATTGTATAACTCACCATCTGTATTTACTAGTATGATTTATCACTTTCAATAGCTGAATAACTCAACTAACGTTTTTGCATATATTCCGCATACTTGTGGTTGTGGGAGCAAAGATATTAATATTTCATGTCTCGTTGTTTTAAGAATATTGTACGTAGTGGATAATATGTGTTGATTGAGAGGGCATAAACATGATACAAGGTCCCTAAACATGGATAATTAAGGATTATTTAAAATTTAGGGGTGGTCTTCTGCCAATGAAATTTTTTAATACAAAAATATCAAAGTAAGTGACTGTACTCACTATAATAATAAAGTCAACAATACTATTTATTGTCACATAAAAATTATTAAATTTTGCTCATAATAGAGGTAAGTCACAAGATTTTACCCACCATATAATAGTAAAGTTATCTTTATTGGTGGGTTTTGTCGTTATAGCTAGTAGTTAAATGTAGTTGTAAGTTTGATGTATCAAAATATATGACTAGTGTGTGAAGTATAGCGACTTTACTATAATAGTTGGTGAAGTTCATATACTTTATAATGTGGCAAAAAAATGGTTCTATGATTATTAATTAGGTGCTGATAATGCCACTCTGCTTGATCATTTTAAGCTGCCGTTACGTTCTCTTGGTTTTGCAGTATTTTCATCGTCAAATCTTGTAAAAGTGTTGTTACGTTGACATCAGCATTAAATTAGGTGTTCATCGGTTGAGTTAATGAATTTGTGATGGTCAAAAGGTGATGGTTGGAACTTTTTTATAGCACAACATTACTACAGTATAAGCTAGAAAAACTCATATATATATATAACTTAACGTTATTACTTTTTTCAATAATAAGTTTAGACAAATATTACGAGTTGTTAGCTGGTGTCTGATACCAAATGTAGGGTCAGCAAAAGGAGTACAACCAATGGCGGATTGTACTAATTACAGTATGTCCATCGTACGTAAATAGTTTACAATATGCTTATGAAGCATTTAGGCAAGAATATTGTATAAGCAAAACATATAATCTTTCAAAATCAATGTGGACTTAGCACTTGGTGTGACCTAACGGTCAATGAGGTGGGGAGACCAGGGACGGAAGCATCTTTAACGAAGCGGTGTCACACGACACCGTTTCGTTCGGAAATATTAATCTATATATATATATATATACTATAAAGAAACGAATAACTTGAAAAAAATGATATCATTTGACAAAGATTGTCTCTTGGTGTGTTGGTTATATGCTTGATTTTGCTTTAAGAGGTTAAAGGTTCAAATTGAATTCGGACATTTTTTTAACTTAAGACTCAATAAAACCAATAGACTAAAGTTATTTCTTGTTTAGAAATATGATAATTAGAGTTATTATTCTCGTTCTTTTATAAATTTCGACACCGCTTATGAAAATTCCTGCATACGCCCCTGGGTGAGACCCTTGAGGTCTCATATTTAAATTCCAGCAAAGGCAAAAAATATTAGGTGATTTCTTCTCATCTATCCAAGCCCTGGTGGATAGTATTACCCTATACTTGTTGCTGGTGGGAGGAGGCAGGTATCTCATGGAATTAGTCGAGGTGACCTAGTGGTTAATGAAGTGGGTGAGAACCATGAGGTCTCAGGTTCATATCCCAGCAAAGGCAAAAAACACTAGGTCATGATTTCTTTTCATCTACCCAAGCCTTGGTGGATAGAATTACATGATACTTGTTGTTGATGGGAGATGACAGATATACTATGGAATTAATCGAGGTGCGCGCAAGCTGGCCCGGACACTAGGATTATTAAAAAAAAAAACATTGTGGACTTAGCTAAGGACAACCAACAAGCGATGCTAAGTAGATTAAAGTTCAATTATTATTGTGGCACTTATATTAGATCTGATGTTCGTTAGAAACTTGTAAAATTCAGAAATTGCACGTTGAGAAAGTATAATATGAGATAATAATAAAAATTTATGAGTTTAGATAACCCCTAAGTGCATTAAAAAGAAATTGACATATGATATCCAATGGTTTATAGAATGGCTTTTATATATATTAGCTTATGACTTAATTTCTTTGGTTAGTACAAACATATGTTTCCTATAAATAAGGTTGTAACGGCCATGCATGAATGTTTGTTCTCAATTTTCATGGTAAGCTAAAAGAGACATTTGCGTTTGACCATTCCAAAACCCATACTGAATCCATCCTCCCTCCATTACAACCCCGCCGTCAGCCTATCGCAACCCTCCTCTTGTCCTTCCTCCGTTTATGGCCGACATTACCATTTCCCTAAACCCCCCTTAGAATCAAAAATCAAGAACTCAGACCTACAATTAGGAAACAAGCAAAAAAGAAAAGACCTTTCATGTTTTTTCTTTGTCCCATTTCTTGTTTTCATCTCATTTTTTAATATAAGGTTTAACGCAATTCCCCCTCTTGTCTTTCTTTGTATACCATTTTACTCATATTCTTCTTCCTTATGTGGTTTCATTTTTCCTTGTGGAAAAAAAAAATCTGATTTTGGCTATCTCTGAGGAAATAATTAAGAGTCCGCTATTAGGATGGCGGACATAGTGAAACAAATTCTAGCAAGGCCAATACAATTGGCAGACCAGGTAACAAAAGCTGCTGACGAGGTTTGCAATTTCAAACAAGATTGTCTTGAAATCAAAGCCAAAACAGAGCGGCTCGCGGCTCTCCTCCGACAAGCCGCGCGAGCTAGCAGCGACTTATACGAACGTCCAACGCGACGAATCATCGATGACACGGAACAAGTTTTAGACAAGGCTCTCACCCTCGTATTCAAATGTTGTGCCAGAGGATTGAGTCGTGTTTTTACGATCATTCCAACTGCTGCTTTAAAGAAAACGGCTCAACAGCTTGAGAATTCAATAGGTGATGTTCAATGGCTGCTACGTGTCTCAACACCAGCGGACGATCGCGACGACGAGTATCTCGGGCTTCCTCCAATTGCAGCTAACGAGCCAATTTTATGTCTTATATGGGAACAAATTGCTATTTTGTGTACAGGGTCGTTAGAGGACCGTTCTGATGCGGCCGCGTCGCTTGTGTCATTGGCTCGAGACAACGAGCGATATGGCAAGTTGATTATAGAAGAAGGCGGGGTCGCGCCATTGTTGAAATTGGCTAAAGAAGGACGAATGGAGGGTCAGGAGAACGCGTCGAGGGCTATTGGCTTACTTGGTAGGGACCCTGAGAGTGTTGAACAGATTGTGAATGCTGGTGTTTGTTCTGTTTTTGCTAAAATTCTCAAAGATGGGCCTATGAAAGTTCAGATAGTGGTGGCTTGGGCTATTTCAGAATTGGCTAAAAATCACCACAAATGTCAAGATCATTTTGCTCAAACTAATACTATTAGGTTATTGGTTAGTCATCTTGCTTTTGAAACAATTCAAGAACATAGTAAGTATGCTATTGCTGCAAACAAACATCATATGTCGATACAAGCAGCTGCAATGGCACATTCTAATTCTTCTAGTGCTAGCAACTTCAGTGATCACACTGGAGGCAAGGTTGACGATGATGATAATAGAACTCAGAGTAAAATTCCTCACCCTATGGATAATCAAACAACTGACCACATGCATAATTTGGTTACAAGTGCAATGGCCGTGAAAAACCAGACACAAAATCAGCCCAACAATCCTATAGCAAATCCGAATCTGAATCAGCAGCAGCGACAACACGCGAATCAGCAGAGGCAACACCATGTTGGATTGACTGGGACTAGTATTAAAGGGAGGGAATATGAAGATCCAGCTACAAAGGCTGAAATGAAGGCGATGGCTGCGAGAGCACTTAGACATCTTTGTGCTGAAAATGTTAGCATTTGTAGTAGTATTACAGAATCCAGAGCTCTATTATGCTTTGCAGTTTTGCTTGAGAAAGGCCCTGATGAAGTACAATATCATTCAGCCTATGCACTAATGGAGATCACAGGTAGGTGTATCACGTTTAGTTCATAAAAATATGGCGCGTGAAATTAGGCTGAGTGTACAATCATTGGCAGATTTTCTTGAACATAACCAAAATTAGTCCATTTGAAAGCTTGAGCTGATTTGGACAATTTATGAAAACCCAAATAGACCTTGACAATACTTATCAAAATATACAGATAAAAAATATTTGTTTAGATATAGTTTGTATAATATAGGCCGAAGTTGAACTAAATTGGAGTAACATGGTCAGTGAGTATTCATATAGGGCATTTATTAGTTTTGTTTGTTTATGGCCCATTGTTTAGCCCAAGTTGACTAGCTCATCTTGGCCCTAACAAACTTTTGACGGTTTATTGATTCAGCCCGTTTTAACTTGTTTAGTTTTAGTCCAACTGCTCATTTGACACTCCTAAATTCACAGGAGTTGCTGAGAAAAATGCAGACTTGAGACGCTCTGCCTTTAAGCCCACGGCACCAGCTGCCAAAGCCGTGGTAGATCAGTTCTTGAGAATTATCAACAAGGAAGACTCCGAATTACTCATTCCAAGCATTCAATCAATAGGGCATTTGGCTAGGACTTTTCGAGCAACGGAGACAAGAATCATTAGTCCATTGGTGGCTCTATTAGATGATAGAGAACCAGAAGTAACTATTGAGGCTGCAAATGCACTCAACAAATTTGCTTGTACAGAAAATTTCCTAAGAGTCAATCATTGCAAGGCAATAATTCAGGCAGGAGGCACAAAGCACTTAGTTCCATTGATTTATTTTGGAGAACAAATGGTTCAAATTCCTTGTTTGAAACTCTTGAGTTACATAGCAACACATGTTCCTGATAGTGAAGCATTAGCTGATGATAATGCACATATAGTGTTGGAATGGGCTACAAAACAAGGGCACTTAATGCAAGATCCTATAGTTGAAGAATTAGTGAACAAAGGCAGAGAAACTATGGAACTTTATCAATCTAGAGGCTCACGGCTGTGAACCTATCAAGTTGTATAATACTTCCACAGTATGTGAAAAACTAGGTACTTTTTAGTGTTCCTTTTTAAATTTCTTTTTCAGTAATCTTGGATCATATACAAGATTAGCTTCATGTACCTTGCTCACATATATGTTTAAATCACCAGCTTTGTCTATTCGATTTTCTTGATAGTTGAGCTCAGGGGCAAAGCTATGTAGGGCCAAGGGAGGTCAATTGAACACCCTTTTGCCGAAAAAGTTATACTATGTATAGGGTAATATATTACTTGTTATTGATTAAACAATAGACTTTGAACACACTTGCATCGCCCACTAGCAAAGGGTGTTCAAAATTTGATCATCCTTGTTGAATTATTTGGCTTCGCCACTGGTGGAGATTTACCCTCGTGCATCAGGGTTGTTATTTTAGGTCTGTTCCTAATGCTGGAAGGGCTAAGTTTTCAACCAAGTCGAAATTTGGCTGTCATACTTACCAGTGTACATAATCTGCAATCTCTCCGCTCTTTTTGCATCTTGTGAGTTGGGATAGTTGCAGCTTTACCTTCGTAAGAAATCATTGAGTTAATTCGTCTACTAAGATCCTATAGTTCTACCATTGCCATGCCACCAAATTGGATATAGCAGGAATTTCTGCTCCAATGTATGGATTGGAGAAATTCAACAAGGCATAAGACGTTTAGTTTTGCAGGTTCATATCAATCATGCTATTATTATCATGGTTTAGGTTGAGTTTTGAAGTCTTCATCATGTGGGATGAAAGTGATACCAATGTGTAACGGAGCAAGACCACAATGCCAAACGGTGATAGTGTAGAATTCTTGGTGCAGTTGAAAAGACTAGTATAGGTAGGTAATCAAGACACAAGTTGCTGACAACACAAACAAATCAAGAAGTCTGGTAGGTATTGAATATTAATTCTCAAGTCAATTTGCTGCAGTCAATCTCCATTTAATTTCTTCTCCCTTTCTACACAAAGTTAACACGAGTACGGAGCAATGGTCACGATGGTTCGAGTTGTGACTTCTAGACTACAAAGCTGTTACCTCGAGATTGTTTGACAATAGACATTCATTCCCGCTTTGTAGCTTGTAACCAGGGGCGAATCTACATATCCCAAAGAGCCGTCAACTGACCACCCTTCCTCGGAAGATTTACACTATGTATATAGGTAAAATATTAGGTTTTAGAAGTATATAATATATATTGAACACTCTTTATCGTGTTGAGAATTATGGACAGTGTTAAATAGAAAGAATCATTACAATGTCAACAAGGTTTAAGATTTCTGGCCCTGATGGAAGCCATTACTGGGCCAGTCATGAAACTCATGTTGCAGGAAGTGATGCTGATGATGTTTGATCACCTCACCATCAGAAAAAAAGTTCAATCCCAAATGTACATTCTTTAACCCACCAACCCCCTAAATTCTTTATGGACCATTGGATTCTTGAATTGCTTGCTCACTCAGCAGCTTCTTCTACCTGACCTCTATCATGTATAATAATATGGAAGCAACAATATATTGTTGCAACCTAACATGACCCTCTCCCCTATATTTGTTTGCAATGACGGTCTTTACTATACTAGCAATGACTTCCGCTTTCGTTACTTCAATCTTTCCATATTCCTTTCCATTTCACTCTCTCTGTATTTTTTGGTATTCCTTTATTTAGGGGTATGTGTTAAAAGCAAGTTGTCTGGGCATGGATTTTAGAAATAGAACCAAAACTGGAGAGACGATGTGAAAAAAAGGAATTAAGGCTCAACTATCTCAATTGCAAATAACTGGAGAGATCAGGTATAATAATGGTCCACTTTCCTGTGCTACTATTTAAAATCAACAACCTTCAATTGTTCTCGTAGACATCTACTTAATATTGATCTTATATTTCAATTCATTAGTGCTAGAAGTAGAATTCTCCCTGCTAGACTGGGAACGAACTGCATTATGAAACCGCATGTTCCATGTATTAGGTATTTAGATTACTAAAATACTAGGACCGATCATAGTGATACATTTTCAAGCTAGCATCCTCTGTTTTTGGCTAAGTAGTGATTTGTAGCTAAAATAGGATGAGAAAGATAGCAGCATTTAGTTCAGAGTAAATATCTAAAAGGCCAAATAGATACATTAGGTTATTTGATGCTAGAGAATAGGTATTCCAAGGCATCCGGTTGAATATTACAGCTAGACAAATAAATGAGAAAAACCCAAGTCAAAAGTTATTCCTTCAATAAAAACAAAGAGAACCACTCCATTAAAAACAGAATAAGCATCACACTTGTGACCAAGTCTTGTCCTTTTCAAGGACATCTTGTCTCCAAACACCATACCAATCCAAAAGACATGCACAAAAATTTAAAGAACCAAACACGAATAAGCATATAACAGGTCAGTTCGAACTTATACCCATAAATTAACTAAGGAACAAAGCATCCCACATATCATCCTCTCCGCAAAAGAAGCATTCAATCAAACTGTAAATGATTATCAAGAGGAGTGGATGATCTACGCAATAAATAAATTATAGGGCTACAAATATTGTCAGTTGATTAATTGATAGTTCTTCAGAAACATGTATGTAAACATGTACAGAGAGTATTCCTTGATGCACCACAAAATATCAGACTCCCCATTACCAAAAGTTTCAAACTGAACTAAACCGTATAACGGATACTACTAATGAGCAGAAAATAAAAATAGCAAACAGCCATAGTCGAATAAAGAGTAGCAAAGACATTACTAAAGGCTGCCAAAGGCACCACTTTCAGACAAAAACATAACAGGCTAAAAGAGAAAGAGAACAAAGGGTTTCAACCCATGTTCAACGACCTCCACTGGTACATTCACGGGCAAAGTGACCATCCTCACCACATTTGTAGCAGCCACCGCCGCCGCCTCCGCCGCCGCTACCACCGAACCTGCCACCTCCGCCGCCGCCTCCACTCTGGCTACAGTCCCTAGCAAAGTGACCAGATTCACCACACTTGAAGCAACCGCTTCCTCCACCACTACCACCACCTCCGTAGCCACCGCCTCCACCGTATCCTCCTCCACCGCCACCATAACGGCTACCTCCACCATAGCCTCCGTCACCGCCACCGTATCCACGGCTACCACCACGACCACCACCACCATATCCGCCACCGCCTCCTCCATATCCACCACCACCGCGACCACCTCCGCCGCCGCCGCCTCCACGGCCACCCTGAACAGCCGCACCATCAGGGCCGGTAACATCAACAGCCTTTGTACGGCCGTCACCTCCAGATTCAACTTCAAACTCCACGGTTTCACCTTCAGCTAGGCTACGGAAACCCTCAGATCTGATACCTGACTGGTGAACGAACAGATCTTCGCCGCCGTCATCGGGAGTGATGAACCCAAAACCCTTTTGGTCACTGAACCACTTGACGGTTCCCTTAGCCCTCTGTCCACTCTCCTCAGCCATTCTCACAGAAACCCTAAAAAGCTTAAAACCCTAAAACCCTTTTGTGTTCTCTTGGTTATGTCACCGTGGGCTTTCCTCTAAGAAACAGCTGATTATATAGTGGAGCGGAGTGCCACGTTTTCGGGTGAATTAGTGGGCCCAGAGACTGTGGGCCATGTTTCTTTATGGGGAATTCAATCGACGGCTGGAATTTATCGAGGAAATTAGACGGTCAGGGGTCATAAGTTTGAACCGAGGGTAAGACCAATGGTCAAATTTCATTTGAACTGGCGATTTTATCCTCCTTGATCAATGAATAGAATGGAAGTGCTTCGTTGGTTAGTTGGGATAGTTCAGTCATTTTACTAGATCATGCAGAAAATGTTGCTGTTATATCTGTATAGCAGTCAAAAAGTTATGTCTGTCAAAATGTTCAGGTAAAAAATAGGCCTGTAACGTAGAGTAGAGGCTAGAGAGTTTATTCCATTTCATCCTTATCCAACTCTTCCACTCAGTCTCACTATTATTAATTTCGAAATTACTAATTTCGGATTAAAAAATTCAACAAAATGCGAAATATAACAATCTGGCATTTGATCGTATCTCACATGCCAAACGATACCTTAATGTTTTTATCAGTGAACTAAATTGTTAACGTACAAGGCCTTGTTGAATGTGATAAAATTGGGGTTTCCATTTAAATGTAAGTACATTAATATTTTTCTTAATTTTGTATTTAAGGTGATGGTGTCAAGACCATAGAATAATAGTAGGAATAATGGTATCATATATCTTCAAGCAGGAATAGAATTCTTATTTTCTACTACATAATCTTTAATTGTTATCTTTTGCAGTTGCATATTTCATTTGTCTATGGAACCTCTTTAGTTTTTAGTATCAAAATTTGTTACGAATGGCTAAGGGGGCACGGTCATGCACATGCAATGGCGAACCTAAAAAAATTTTCAAGGGTGTTCAAACTTGAACAAGAAAAAAAAAATCCCCAACAAATAGGTGCACCGAAAAATTTAAATCAAACAACGTGATATCGAAATAATTATACGTGTAATAGTACGACCAATTGGATAAATCCAAACTAATATATAGAATTCATCAAAAAGAGATTCTACTTATTACAATTGTACTCGATGAGGCTTCATCTTTTGAAATATTTTTGTAATAGACTCGTTAGAAATAGTACTAAATACTTCTCTTTCTACATAAGGCACTATGCAACCGCCTAAAAAGTCATCATCCATTCGACTCTGCAAACCATTCTTGATAAACTTCATTGCTGAGAAAGCTCTTTCAACGATTGTAGTGGCAACAGGCAGAAGCAACGCAAGTTTCACTAAGAGGAATACAAAAGGATAAACTGAATGCTTCTTTGTCTTAACTAATCTTTTTGAAAGATCAGAAAGCCCATTAAGATTGGAAAACCTTTCATCAAAATCTCGAACATCAATATTGTAACTTGCAAGCTGATTCTCAAGAACACTCATCCTAAATTCATCAAAGCCATCAGGATACAATTCAGTCATTTTCAGTATTTTTCTAATATCAAAACTTGAAAATGAGTCAATTGGATCCAAACAAGCAGCTCCATGAAGCAAATCAGTCGTCAATTCGTCAAAACGATCGTTGAGTTGTTGAAATTGCTAATCAATAACTTTAAAAAACACTTCAACACGATAATGATGAAAGACAGTATGATCAGTAGGTTTTCGTCGTGATCTTCTGGAGTTAACATATAGATCATCAAAATTAGGCACCAAAATATTTGATACAAAATATAGATACTCTATCAACGAACGGAACCCATTCATCATTCCTCCTTAAAGTTTGCAATCTTTTCTTTGCTTCTTGAACAAGTAGCGTGTCATTTGCAATATCTTGCTCTCTTTTTTGTAAGGATACATTCAGCTCATTCGTGATTCCCAAAATTTGTGTCATTAAATGCAACAAGAATACAACATTATATATTTGACAAGCTTCGAGATATCCCGATGCCTTAGCTCTATCATCTAAAGTACCTGCATCTTTATCAAGAACATCAACAATAGAGCCAAACATACGAATAAAGTTTCCAAAATGACTTGTAGTGAGATCCCAAACGAGTATCACCGGCTCTAACAAGACCAAGTTCTTGATTCAAGCCTCTACCCTTTTCTAATTCACCCATATCTAGTGCCTCTTGGAGTTTTTTGTTTTGAGATTCTCGAAATTCATCCATACGTTTAAAAGAAGCCCCCATCACATAAAAAAAATTTGAAACCAATAATATAAGTTCATCTACTTGAACACACTTCTTGAAAACCACAACAAGAGTCAATTAAAGTTGATGTGCATAACAATGAATTGAATGAGCCGATCTACTTTCTTGTTTAATCAACTTCTTAAGACATTTAATATCACCTTGCATATTGCTTGCCTCATCATAACATTGTCCACGAATAGAAGATAAACTTAAAAGTGTATGAGGAGGAGGTACGAAATTTTATACCGACCTCTTCACAGTAGAGGGTGATCAAATTTGTGTGTTGATAAATGGGGTGGACATAGTGATGGACTCTGGCTTACTAGGGATAATTTTGGGAGTTCCTACTGAAGGATTGTCGTCTGTTCAGGGTGCCTGCACATCAAATTTCAGAAATATCATTGTCAAGGACAAGGCAATCCAACATGGGGAACAGGTGAATAAGAAGGCACTTCTTCCAGTATATCAGTTGCTTTTTGAGATGGTTAATAAAGTGTTGCTTCCCCACGCTGAGAGAAGACCTATTGCATCCAAAGCTGACTTGTTCCTTATGGAAGCCTTGGATAAGTGTACCACTATCAATTTGCCTGGCATAATGATTGAGCATATGCAGAAGGTGGCAAACCTTAAGGATAGGAATCCTGGGCTACCTTATGGGTTTCTTCTCACAAAGGTATTTGAGTTCTTCAAAGTGCCTCTAGGACAGGCCAAAGTGGGCACTAAAAAGCAATCCTTTTCAGAAATCACTCTTGAGAAGTGTGAGTGTATTGACAAGGTCGGAGGAGTTGGAAACACTTTCACTATCTCTCAACTGATAAATGCTCAGAATAGTGCCACAGAGGAGATCCGGAAGTTGAAGGCTAGGAACACGATTCTTAAGAGTCACCTCAGTCAGTTACAAGAGGCACCTGGTCCAAGCACAGCTCAGAGGTTGCATGCCTAACAAAGGAGAATGTCGAGCTCAGGAAACAGGTGGAGGACCTGAAAGAAAGACTGCTCAATGAGCAAATGTCCGCAAATTCTCACATGGATCTTGTCCTCCAAACCTATGTTTCCTCTTCCAAGCCCCTTCCTCCAGTGTCCCCTAAAGGATGTCCCCTCAGTGTCAAGTTTCCATTTTCCCTCTTCTTAGTTGTTTTTGGTGATATTTTTTATGTTTATGGTAATTATTTTTGTTTGTTTTGAAGTTATGGATGATAACAATGATTTTCCTCCAGCTTGTAAAGGTCCAAATTTGGTTAATGCAGGTAGTTTCCTTTTGCTGTTTATGCTACTGCTCTTTTGTCTCTGTTTTCTATCATGTTGTGTGCAAACAAGTGGCATGAGTTAACCACGCTAGACTTCTTTATGTTGCTTACTTGTTCTGTGCTTTTTATGATGCCAAAAGGGGAAAGATTTAATTGAATAATAAATAGCATAGTTGAATAATAATTTGAAGAGGGAGAAATACAGATTCAGGGGAAACTCACAGAGAGGTTCAAGTACAGATAAAGGTGGAATGCAAAAATTCAGGGGAAAACTTAAGGTCTTTCTGGTTCGCTGTCTGGTTCTATATGGGATTTTCAATTATGAGTTTGTCATCATCAAAAAGGGGGAAATTGATAGATTACAAGTACCTTGGTCATAAGTAGTTTGTTTTATATTTTGATGATCTAACAAACTTACTATCTAGAACCAGATAAGGAACTTGTTACACATTTACAAGACCTTAAGATCACAAGGTTCCAGCTTGGGATATGGCTCAACTCTTCAGAGTAGAAGGAACAGCTGAGGGAATAGGTCTCTATCAGTTCCCGAGATGACTGTACGAAGTCAACTCTCCAGCTGAAAAGTTGCTGCCTGCACACGCTACAGCAGAGGAACAGTGGAGCAGTCAAACTTTCTATAGAAGGTTTTTTACCTACCTTGCTTACATCATTGTATGTGAGGTCACACATGTATTATTAACAACAAGGGAGGTAAAACACATTCACTTGAACACTTAGAGATTTTTACTCAAGCTCCCTCACGTGATCATCCAGGAAGTAATTTTCAAGTGCATCAAGAACAAAGAACAAAATAACTACGGACCAATTCCCACATCAAGTTATTGTATGTCCTTAGTTGAGTTGTAACTTTGTAATAGTTCTTCAATTGTAATTCCTACCTAGCTTGTTTAGAAGCATTCTGTAGGAAACCCTTTGTAAACCTTAAACCTGTGTGTTTGAGTCTTGGTTAGAGTTAGTCAAGTTGCAAAGTATATGTGATATAATTATTACAAAATGGCTTGTAATAGAGCATTACAAGTTAGTGAGGGAATAAGAGGTTAATTCCTAGGTTGCATAGGTTGTAATCTAAAAGTTGCTTGTGAGCACGTGATTTTTGCCACGCTTAAACTACTCCTACAAAATTCTTTAGAATTAGGATTTTTCTTTATTATTTGGATTTTTAGGAATTAAATTGCATGATTCTGTGTCTTGTTTGCATTTTTGTGTGCATTTTACTTGATATAATTCCAAAATTACAAAATAGTATGCATTTCAATATTACAAAAATAAAGAAAATAACAAAAATGGTTCTTTGCATTTCTACTTTTAATTTCTAGTATTTGTCTTAAATTTTCTTTTAACATTAGGAATTAGTTTAATTTTGAAATTCAATTAGTATAATTTTTGAATCCATTTGGGTCTTTATTCTCGATCTTACATTTAATAAAATCAGAAAATAAAATACAAAAATCAAATAAAAAAAAAAGAGAAAAGAAGAAAATAAACAAACAAAAGAATTTAAAATAAAAGACAAAAGGGCTGGCCGATTTGGGCCATTGTTTCATGCAAAGGCATAAGCCCAATCAATCCATAACCCAGTCCCCACCCGTCCAGTCCAAAACCCCAACCCAGTCCGGTCCAGAGACGCCCAAAAAACGACGTCGTTTTGGCGTCAATTAATCTTGACCGTCCATTTCTCATCATCCAACGGTCCTCATTCGTTCAAGGCTTTTAAATAAAAATGTCCGAAAATTCTTCATTAAACCTAAATATTTTCCATCCTCCTCGTACCCCTGTCTCCCACCGCCAGCTACCACCGCCCTCCGCCCTGAGCCACCGCACACCACCGTCCCTCCGCCGTCCGCCGCCGGCCGGAAATCGTCGCCGCCGGCGGCGAAGCTCCAATCAACCCCAAAAATACACCATAGACTCATCTTCCTCTCCTCTTTCCAACCCCCAAAACAATTTCCTTCAATTCATTGCCAATCTTTTCGAATTTCAGATCGAAAATCCGGCCAAAATGCAAACTCATCCAAACCGGCCCAAATTCATACTATATGTTCCTCATCCCTCCCTCATCATTAATCCGTACCTAGAGACCCTCGAATCTGTCCGGAGTATCACGAATTCTAAACCGCAGAGCCGGCAGAACCCTAGAAGTTCATGTTGTTCAAATTCTGCCCGATTTTTTGAGTCCGGCATTGGATTCGAGTCACGAAACAATGTTTCGTTTGTTCTTCGAGAAGAACGAATGCTTAACATTGTTTCGAGGCTCGAATCGAGGTTCCACTCCCGCCTGACCTTGCGTGGGTGAGTTTCTCCTACTTCGCTAATTAGCTTAAACAAAACTGTTCTTCGTTTCTATTCTTGTTGCTTCTGATTTTTCTTTTGTTTCTCTGTTGTTTTTCTTTCTTGGCAGTAATTCAGTATTTTAGGTCTAACAATTAGTTTAAACTTTATATGTGATTCTTCCTTTGTTAGTCAATAGTAATTTGTCAATTTCGCTGTATTTGAGTCTTTGTCACTCGAGCATGTTCAGTGTTATAGGGTTTAGTTTAAACTTTGTTAATTTGAATAAATTTCTTCACGCTAATCGACATTGTTCTAACTCTCATGTGTGATTTAACTCTGCCCAGTTCGGCTTTGTGATTGGTTCAAATTTAGTTTGATCCACGTTTGTTTGCTTGCAATTTGTGTTTTAGATCAATATAAATCTGTCCAGTTAATTTGATGTAAGGATCTAATCCATAGTGAGGTAGCTAGTATGGTTACAGTATTGAATAGAGGTTTAACATAGTGTTCTAGTTAATATCAAGGGGATGATCAATAGGTAATTAGCATAAAAATGTGTATTTTATTCGAGGAATAGTAATTTTTTAAAGTAGGGAAGGGCATAGTATAGGAATTTGTAATGGGTATAGGACTTTTCCTAGTAATAGACTTTAGTATAGTTTTTCAATAAAATAGGTGTTGTAACTGGTAACAAGTTAAAAGAATAAGGGACTAAAGCTGAAAAATGGGTAAGACTAAAAAGAAAACTAAAAATCTGAAGGTTAGGCCCTAGGCCTTTGCATATAAAAAGGGCACACCCATTGCTTTTCTTTAACAAAGTTTTTGGCATCTTAAAAAATTTTTCCCCAAAGTTTCTACAAGTTTAGACTCTAAAAATCTGAATTTTCAAATCCAAAAACAAGAAAATTAGAATCTGAAAACTCGAAATTTAAAGGGTTAGAAACCTAGAGAGCTGAAAATTTGAAATTTTGAAAATCCCAAAACCAAAATTCTGAAATCATAAAGTTTGAGAGTTCAGCCAAATTTTGTTCATTGAAGGTCTAACAGTAGAAGTAAACATCAAATCTTTTTTTAGGTCTGGTATTAGAGTTATTGGTTTGCAATCGAAGATGAAGTCAGATTTGGTAAAATCAATTTGCGGTTGTAATTTCAAAAACTGGACTTGCTTTTTTGGGTCAGTGTTTCGGAGTGTAGTTGCCTCCTTTGGTTTGACATCGAGTTTGGTTGAATGATTTTGCTGCTGATTGACTGTCGCTTCTATCCTGCTTTGCTAGCTCCTCATTCTCTTCTATTGTTTCATTTTCTTCAGGTTATCTTCCATGGCCTCCAAACAATATGTAAAATGTTGAATCTGCACTTCAAATAGAGAATGCTTTGGATACAAGTTGCTTATTTCGCTGATGTCTTCCTGTCTTTTTTCCTGTTTTTTTTTCATATTATTGATGCATGTATATTATT